TTTTCGTCGCGCTGTGATGACGTCACATACGCGCTTTCGTCGACCGCGATTTTGTCGTCCGCGGTTTTGTGGTAGAACCATAATCTCAAGGGGACACACTCATTTTTTCCTCCAGCTAGACATCCAGACATATTCACACTATTTGGTTCACATGGTGTTAAGCCTTGGCTTCTTAACCAAGGTTAAGGTGAAGGCTTATAAAATTATACTTTATATCTAACATTGGCTCGTTAGCACAATACCCTTTTGATATATTTATTTATAAATTGCCTACAACGTGATTCACAAACTGTGCTAACCCAAAGCTGAACACACTGGAATAGTGTTGTGTGTGTGTGAGTGTGTGTGTTTGTGTGTGTGCGTGCTCTGTCCGTCTCACCCACACGCGCATGTAATGATGGTTTAGTGGGTCAATTCCCCAGCAATTTATTTATTTTATTATTTATTAATAAGATTTATAGGCCGCCCAATCCCAAGCAATTCCCTTCACCAAAAACATCCAGACGAAGTCCAGCCAAAAGCAGACCAATGCTATTCCACAGAACAACAGCTAAGGTCCAAAGGGCTTGAAAGTTTCACAGACAAGGTAAACTCACAACACCACTGTTTACATGTGTGCATCAGTGAGCGGGACACCGCAATGTGATCTAAAGACAGCCACTCTTCTTTGAGGAAGGCCATCCTGGAAGACCCTACTGTAATCCTTGGCATTTCCTTACCCAACAAATGGATCACTCCGTTATTGTTCTGTTTAATGTCTTTATAGATCTCTTCCTCATCGACATCCAAGGTAACCCTCTCTTCACCCAGGGAAATCTTGGCAATGGCCTCCTGCGACGGCTCCTGAATAAGAGAGGAGAATCCAATTTGGGATCGGACCAAGGGTAATGAAGTTGAAGCATCAACAATTCTGTCAACACTGACATCTTCTCTACAGGTGGTCCTCAGTTAACGACCACTCGTTCAGCGACTGCTTAAAGTTGCAATGAATGAAACCAGTTGTAACACCCATTCCTCAAAATTCCGGCTGCCGCACCACCACCCACGGATACCTGATCACAATCCAGAGCCACGGTGATATGTGAATGTATCATATTGAGCTGCGGTGGCGCAGTGGTTAGAGTGCAGTACTGCAGGCTACTTCTGCTGACTGCCATCTGCCAGCAGTTTGGCAGATCGAATCTCACCAGGCTCAAGGTTGATTCAGCAGTGTCCCTGGGTCACGCGATCCCCTCTTTGCAACTCTCTGACAAGCAAAGGCAATGGTGGAAGGCAAATTCACTTAACAACCATGTTACTAACTTAACAACTGCAGTTGTTACTCAACAATAGTGGCAAAAATATTGTAAAATGGGATAATNACATTTGCCTTTTCACTTTGCACATACAAACACATACTCAGCACTAAAAGCACAGTACAAGGTTATTACTCTTTTAAGATCACATCAGATCCAATCAAACTTGACAACCGGAAATATTTCCAGCAAGATGCATAGCTATTCACAAGTCCTAGACTAAAATGATTATCCCACTCGTGGTGTTGTGCATCGCAGCCAGGCCAGTGCATAAACTCTAGTACTCCATGGGTTCTCCCAAAGGTTCTTTTTTTTTTCAAGAGGCAACTGGACTTTCTGGTTTTTCTTTGAAGAGGTTTCGCTTCTCATCCAACAAGCTTCTTCAGCTCTGACTGGATGGTGAGGAACGGGAGGATTTATACTCCCTGCAGGCAGCTAGTCTGCACCTCTGAGTACCGCTTCATGCCACCACCACCACCCATCGCAACCAGCCAAAAGCCTCAGCCACACCCCTTTGCCCTGTGCTCGTCAGGCGCTGCTTTAGACAGCTGCATTCTTCAGCCCAATTCTTTCCAAAAGACGCTTTTCTTTTCTTTTTCCTTTTCTCTTTTCTTTCACCTCTCTTTCTTTGGCATTTGTTTATCAGGAGGTTTCCCCTACCTTACTAGGAGAAGCCTGGTCCATTTCCTCTCCCTCGGCAGGAAGCAAGGAGCTGGAATCACCACAGTCTTTGCTTCCATTACCTTTAAAAGACAGAATTTTTTTTTCTTTTTTAGAAAACAAAAGGAAAAAACCAAATGCATTCCAGGTATCCTCAACTTACGACAGCCTGTTTAGTGATTATTTGAAATTGCAACGGCACTGAAAACCCTTTTTCACACTTAAGAACCATAGCAGCATCCCCATGGTCGCTTGGCAACTGACTCATATTTATGACGGTGGCAGTGTCCCAGGGCCGTGTGATCCCCACTTGCAACCTTTTGACAAGCAAAGTCAAAGGGGAAGCCAGATTCGCTGAACAAACGTGTTACTAACTGAACGACAACGGGCATTTGCTTAACGATTGTGGCAAGGGAAGTCATAGAATGGAGCAAAATTCACTTAACAAATGTTTCACTTAACAAATGTTTCACTTAACAATAGAGGTTTTGGGCTCAATTGCGGTCGTAAGTCAAAGGACTACCTGTGTTGGGGAAAAGCTGGATGACATCAAAAAATCCCAGAGGTTTACAAGTCAGCAAAATAGAAACAAATTTGGATTACTTTGTTCAATTCTCTCCATTTTTTCTTTTCATCTGCAGGAAGGATCTTCCAACTTGTCCTAACTTCCTAACAGGGAGGACAATTAACCAGTGGAACAGTTTCAGAAATCATGGGGGCTCCATCACTGGAGGTTTTTAAAAAGAGATTGGACAACCATTTGTCTGAAATGGTATTGGGTTTCCTGCTTGAGCAGGGGGCTGGACTAGAAGACCTCCAAGGTCCCTTCCAACTCTGTTATTCTATTCTATTTCCTATTCTAGTCTAGTCTATTTTCTATTCTAGTCTATTCTCTATTATCTTTCTGTTTTCTTTTTTATTTTCTAGTCTATTATTTCCAATTCTATTTATTTTCTATTCTATTTTCTATTCTATTCTCCTTTCTATTCGGGTCTAGTCTATTTTCTATTCTAGTCTATTTTCTACTTTTTATTCTCTCTTCTTTTCTCTTCTCTTCAACTTAGAAAATCATTCAAACTTCCAACGCTCTTTAATAATCTCCGTGACCCGTCAAAAGCGCGTTCCACAAAAGCGCGGTCGACGAAATCGCGTATGTGACGTCATCACAACGCGACGAA